GAAAAAGTTTGGTTTTGAGTTTTGAAAAAAGTTTTGAATTATTTGTTTGGTTATGAGGTTTGAAAATAATTTTTGAATTGAGTTTTGAGTTATGTGTTTGGTTACGATTTGAGTGTGAAGTTATGTTTTGAGTTTAAAATACTAAAATTAAAATATTTACAAAATAAACTAAAATATTGAAAATAAAAAAAAATAAAAATATTGAAATAAAAGTTATATATTTAAAATGAAAAAAATAAAATTTTCTTAAACATTTTTTAATATTTGTAAAAAATAAATCCAAAAAAGCAAGGGTAATAAGAGTAATAATCCTAAAAAATAATTTATAATTTAATTGCTGTATAATATAAACAGAGGGGATAAGGGTATTATCATCTTTTTGTGCTCAAAAGGAATGGTAATAAGGTCATTTACTATATGCAAGTAACACCGTTTGTTCTAATTTAACAAAATATGGGAATCTAGACAAAGTCAGTTAAAGTAAGGGAGGTTTGTGTAATTATTCAAACCAAAGGGGAGGTCCCCGTATTTGTCAGAAATCTCAGGGAGATGAGTATAATTTACCCATTGATATTTGGTACCTTGTTTGGAACATATTATTTTAATAATTTTTTGACTTTTTACAAAAAGATATACAAAAAAAAGTAGAAATATTGATGTGATAACTTATAGTAACTTTTTAATTTGACGATAGTAAAGTGACAATTTATAATAATTTTTTAATTTTTTTTTGTTAAAATATCTGGCTGTCAAACGAGGCCTAACTGATGGATAGAGTCTATCAACCAAGTTCATTAAATATGCCTTTACCATGATAGTTTTCAAACTAGTGATCCATGGCAAGTATTTGTAACATTGATCAAGTGCTGAACCAAGAATTTGACTCCAACGAGCTACCAATCTTTGCCTTTTTCTTTCACATATTATTTTGATTTATAACAAAACGATTTTCTCCTAAAACCTCCCAAATCTCATCCAAACTGATTATTCCGATACATACTTGTGGTTTGACATTTGAGCAAATTTCATTTGTGAAACCAAATGCATTCCTCTAATAAACTGGAGTTATTTCAATGCAATGGCAGTTACATTGGTTATCCATTGATTGACGAGTGAGTTGTTGTAAGCTGTTGCGGACTTGGAGGACCTGGACACCCTCCGACACAGATGCCACTTAGGCAAGCACAAAATCCAAAACCAACACAAACTGGGGCACAGTTCCTTGTGGTTATGCAACGTGGCAGCTTTGGCCTTTACCCATTGGCTCCTGTGACGAACAAACCTACCACCATGACTTGTTTTTATTACAAGAAAGTCTAAGAACTCAAAGATTTACCAAAAATTTTAATTAAAAAAATGGTATGTGGGTTAAATTTAACAACAATATTATGAACTCGGAAAAAAAATACCCAAAATATTATTTAGAAAAATGAATCAACAGATTATATTCATTGTGAGTGTAACCTATATTTTACTAACTTTAAATTTACATTACACGTTCACTTTCAGGATAAAATTTGAGATAAGTTTTCATAGTACATGACATTTTTGTAGATTTATTGTACTATAGAAGCCACATATAAAATTAATCTCAATCATCTTATATGTTTTCTGAATACTTTTCTTTAGATGATTTTTTTTTGAATAACTAGTAGAGCTTTGTTCCATTACACAAGTCAATATTTTATGCCAAACTTTGTTACGATAAATTTTATGAAAAATTATTTCATATTACGTGCCACCATGGTACTCAAATGAGAGAGAGAGAGAGAGAGAGAGAGAGAGAGAGAGAGAGAGAGAGAGATCATCCTGATGCAACAATGGCTACAAGCACCATTAGCAAAGTGAAGTTGAATGTGGTTTTCTTCCCCGTGTCTTTGTTTTTAATATGGTAGAGCTATGATATGTAGGATATAGCTTGAAATTGAAATGCTCCTCCAAGCTCTCTATTTATATTAGGGGAAGCACTGAAAAAATCTAGTAAACAAGTAAAAACGGTAACAAATCTGGCAAAAATCTTGTTGTTAACAAATCATTTATGTTATACCTACTATATATGTGCTATTTAATTTGATATGGCCATTCTTTATAAAGAGAGACAAACAATTAAATAAGTAATCCAAATTTAAATTTTGTAAATCAAATTAATTTTAAATGTGACACACCATTTCTATTTATATTGTTAGAAGACAAAAATCATAATTTTATTGTATTTTTATTGATTTGAACTTTTGTCACTGATTAGAAATACCTTTCACTTAATTTGTTTGGTAGGAGTCAATTAAGAATATCAAGGATATGACTTATTGTAGATATGCAAAAAATGTCTATTGGTTAGAATAGGAAAGAAAATAGATTATTTTCAAAATAATATATATATATATATATATGCTTGTATGAGATTTCCTCAATTAAATTGGAGATTTTCCTCAATTAAAGCATATCTAGCTTCCCAGCAACAGTTTTCTTTCTCTCGGACTTGCCGTTCCAACAAGAAGGTGGCTCATTGGGTAGCCAAGGCCCAATCCTCTAACTCTCTTCCTTCCTTATGGGCTGTATTTCCCCCATTTCTTTTGGCATCTTGTTAAGTTTTGATGTAATTGCTCCTTCTGTTTAATTGTTATATATCTACTAAAAGAAATAACATCCGATTAGTACACATTAATGTGTGTTTGGGTAACCTTAAGCATAGTGTATAAAGTAATTGCCCCGAGATCTAAATCCATAACCTTACAAATTTGTAAAATCATTATATAGTCTTTTTTGTATACTTTTTCCATTTGTATATTATTAGTCTCATTTGCTACTAACTGTGCACCATGGCTCGTTTATTCTCCCATTCCACAAAACACCAAAAGGTATGCCCAACGCTGAAATACAATTGCATACAGTATGACAACATAGTTTAGGAGCATTAGCCGCATGTAATCTTTCATTTCCCTATTACAAGGAACATTAAATGTACATGATTGATGTTTCGATTCCCTAATTTCAAGAACATGTCGAGCATGCAGAAACCAACTTTAGAGCAACAACGGCCAATCCATGTATCAAGGAACATTGAACCTCCATGACATTTCTATGTTAAATGACAAATCATGGTGTTAGAAAGTACAAAAGAAATTTTAGTGTTAAATAGTTTCAAGACTCGTGGGGAAAAAAACAACCCATGTTCGGCAAATGCAAATCCCATTTGATGCAGAGCATCATTTTCCAGAACAAAGCTCTCCGCACAGGCCCAATCCATCACATGCCATGTATTATCCTGTGACTATTACTGTAACAATATCAAGAAAAGCAATTATATAATAGCAAGCCAGCAACAAGAATAGACTCTTCTTCTCATGAGATAAGCACTACCACGGTTTTTTTTAAGAATAAAAATTTTATTAAAAGAAAAGGAAGGTATAGCGAGAGGACAAGGAGTCCTCCAAGGAAACAACAAAAGAAACAAAACAATCACAAAATCCTCAATCTAAACGTCGGAAACTGCCCTCCAATTGTTGGCAAGCGCTATCCCTCTTTCAACATGTGCTCCATCTAGAGTCATATTCTTGCCAAGGCACTGGTCATCATATCTTTCATCTCACTTCAACAGTCAATGTAATTGCTTGATGTCATTTGCCTGTGTTGCAGCTTCAACTTCAAAAAGAGCACACCTTAAAGATGCTATGATCTTCAATGATTCAGCACGAAACCCCATTTTGGCCAACCTTGATTCTGTTTTCCCTGTCAACACTGCCTCTCTTACCTGTTTGCATTCACAATCCGCTGCTTTTGTTGGAGTAGAGATTCAATATTGGAAGAATTACAACACAAATCATGGGCAAAATGAGAAACTTATCAAGGTCACAACAACCAATCTTAAGTGGTTCAAACAATATATTGCAAGACACAAGTTGCACACTGAAATGAAACGTTCTGTAGTGGCAAAGCAATGAGAACTGTTAAAGGATCAAAATCAAAGGGATGATTTCCTGTTAAACAAAAATGATGACTGCCATAAAAACATACATCTGAAACATCAATATCAAAATTCTAACTGTTCGGGATACCTCAAAACTCCATATATTAGGTTCTTATGTTTTTGTGGCAATATCAGAGGGAATGTAAAGTTAAAAAGCAGTAAACACCGGATCTGATGACAGCTTAGGATTAAGTTATTTCATGCCTACATTCCTGGTGAAATATAACTAGCAATTATAGTTGATAATTGAGAAGACACACAGGGATAGTTTGTTTGTTCACCATGGTGTTGCCTTACAATTTTTATGACGTCAAAAGCAAAAAGATTTGCAAAACCCTGTCTTCAAAAATATTTTGATGAGTTGACTGCTTTAATTACAAAGAAATTATCAAATCTAAACATAGATTACTACAAGGCAACAACAAAAATAAATTCCAAAATATCAAATACAAAAAAAACAAAAACAAAAAAAGGAGATAAAATAGTTGTTTTGAAACAATATACTTCTTTTCTACAGATAAAAACCAGAAATAAAGAAAATTAATGAACAAATGAAGAGCCTAAAAAGATTAAACAACCAGGGTTGGCAAAAACAGAGAATTCAACAAGCTGTCAACTACAGAGCCAAAATGGAGAAAATAAAGAAACAACTCTGGACAACCAGTAACAATGTGATATGAAACAGGATACAAAACAAGATTATTATTGTTATCCATAGTTTTGTCAAACTATAGGAGTTTAGAACCATTAGATTCTGGATTCAATTGGAAATTGAGTGATTCATGTGATTCAATTTGCAATTCTCTACAATTAATTGCTATTCACATCAATTCAATCGATTATGTTTTTATTTTTGTTTACATAGTGCATGAAACAACATTGTTTTCGCCTCTCTAGCAAGAAATATAATAGAGATTAATTAGTCATATTACTATATATGGCTTTATACGTATATATATTCATTTTAAACACAATCTGTGTATTTTATTTTATATGTATATATTAATATTCATATAAAAAATTATATATTATTTTAACAAAAGTGAATCTTACTCTTCAAGATTCAATTCACAATTTCATAACAATGTCATTAGAGTCTAAGAGAGGTAGTGGGGAGCATATGGAGCCGTTAGTACTTGTCATCATTCTTAAGTCGCAACCTTTATTCCCTCTCCACATACATAAAAATAAATAAATTAAAATATTACAGAATTAAAAACTACCCAAAAAAATAACTCAAGTATTCAAGTCTCCAACTCCAATGCAAATGACTCCACCAGCTAGCTAATAATTATAAACTAATCTTTATAAAACATTTTCACATAACCATATAGCATTGAAAAATCAGCAATTGCAACAGTGCACTTGCCCCTTAAAAATTGAATTACCAAATCATTTTGTAGCAGCAACAAAGCGGGTATTAACATAAATTACATTGTTCTGGGACCACTGATAACATAAAAATTTCATGAATAGACTAATTTTCCCCAAAAACATTTTCATAGAATTTTACAGGCACATTTCCTGAATTTTAAAAACCTTAAAAATGTGTGAAAATAACCCAACCAATACAATCGCAACCATTTTCCATAAAACAGAATTCTTATTTCTATTCAAATGTGTTTAGAATTGCAGAGAGGAGCGGGTGATGGCATTGATGTTGGAGGGTTACCCAGCAGGATTATTAGCATCTCTCATAGAATGCTGAGTAGTGGTTACCATAGACTCACAGCTTGCATCAGTAGTTGCCGACGCCTGCAGGACATTCATTGAACATAGGTATCTAAGCCAAAACATGAAAATGCCATAAGGAAACTTTACTTTTGTTGTTTTTTAGAGCAGTTCAATATAATTCCTAGACTTTTATTATATTGTAGAACAGTTAAATATAATTCCTTTCAAAGTATAAAACTGAACAGGCTACCAATTTCACAGGCTATCTATGCAGAGCATTGAGCAAATATGTTTGGACATCAAAGATGAGACATAAAATAGATATAATAGGCATCTGAAACACATAGAAGCAAAAAGAAAAAGATCACAAAATAAACAAAATGCACAACCCCACAGACTGGTCCCAGTTGTTAGTTGTTCACAACTTCTGGAAAAACCCGTAACGTTGGGGTTCCCAAAGCTGGAAATTTATATTATCATTCTACAAATATAACAAATATCAACCCTTTGATTCTTTTCGAAAGTAAATGCATCCAATAAAGACAGATAACGAGAAATAGAAGTCGATCCATAAATATATAGCAATAGCAACAATAGGGTAAGAGATAAATTAACATACAGTGTGCAGTTGTTGCCGCATAAAACCATTCTCGCATACCAACTGTGACACCTGTTTCTGCAACCGATCATTCTCCTCCATCAACAGCTTGTTCATCGCCGTCAGTTTCCTGTTCACAGTCTGCAGCCGAGAAGCCTCTTTTCGTTGCTTCTCTCAACACCTGCATAGGCCAAAAGAAACTTTAAAAAATCGTTTCAAATCCAACCTAAGAACCCAATTTACATTCAATTACACAGATTAATTTATTTACAAATAAGCAGAATTGCAATCAAAATCTACACATTTAAACAAAAATTCCAAGAAATTCAGTTAAATAACCAAAGTTTTGCATCAAGGCCTCTTCTTTACCTGCGATTCTGAAACCAGACTTTGATCTGCTTGGGTTCGATGTTAGACAAAATGGGACAGTCGCGGATCAATTGCTGCCGACGCAAAGAGCTCGGCTTCGGACACTCGGCATAAACCCTTTCGAGGGCTTCCACCTGCTCGCCAGTGTACCGGACATATTTTTCGGCATCGAGATGCCTGTTCATGCTATCACTGCTACTCTCTCTGTGCTAATGTGCCACTACCATCGCCATTTTACTCGAATTCGAAGCTTCTGTGCAATTCTAAACACACTGATCAAGAAAGGAAAATGGCGGTGAGAGTGGAGGGGAGAGGAGCGGCGGTGAGGGAGAGGGAGACGGAGAGGGAAAAGGACGCTGAAGAGAGAGAGAGAGGCGCTATTAATGGTTCAGGGTTCGGTTTGGTTTGGTTTGGTGAGAGCGTGAGATAATTTATAGAAATGGTTATTGGCGACTAAAACTTTTTGTCGCTAAAGGTATTTTATAAATCCCTCTAAATATTTGAAATGTCTCCCTCCAAAACATTTTACATCTTTGGTGACTAAAATTCAATTTTGTCGCTAAAAACAAACTTTTGGCTACCAAAATTTTGGTCGCCAAAGGTAAAAACATATTTTTTTGATGATCCTTTGAAGTCCCAAGAAGGAGAGGGCCACCCCCTCTCCTTGTGTCCTTGAAAAGGACACATTTTGGCCTCTTAAAGAAGCCTATGCTTGAGTGTGTGTTGAGCATGTTTGGTTTGTTTTTCATGCTTATATATCCATGTATTAACATGATTTAAAGTTGGTTTTGGAACCTTATGCATGTTTAGCATAGTTGCCTTGTAATGCCATGTTTGTGCCTTAACATTGATCTAGGTTGTTAGCCTTTATTGGAGCATGTTTTTAGGCTTGCATTGTGAAGTTTATGTGCTATTTTGCCATGCTTTAGCTCTGTCCATAGTCGTTTGGATTGATCTTTGCATGCATTATATGGCTCCTTTGCATTTGGCTTGTTGGCCTTGAGATTGTGCATGTGTAGCATGCCATCTTTGCATTGTTTTGATGATTGGAATCATCTCTGCATGCTATTTCAGTCCCATTCCATGCTTGTTTGATTGCCTTGCATGCCTCTTTAATGCTTTGAAAGCATGCGTTGCAATGCTCCATGTTTTGGTCATGGTGTATGCCTTTGTATTTGGCCACTTAGATGCCATCTAAAGAGTCCTTTGGCCTTGTTTTAACATGCTAAAAATCGTTTTTAGTTGTTTAATGCATGCCTTGTTTGGTCATGATAAGTGTAGTTCAATGCATTATTGATTTGCTTGGATACTTGGACTACTCTTGCATGTTTCGGCTTGATTTATAACTTGATTTGGCATCATTTATTTAAACATAATTTGGGCTCATGTTGCATGCTAATTAGTCCATGATCCCTCCTTTCAAGGATGCTTGAATTGTTGTTTGATTTATGCTTAAGTGTTGGTCCTTTTGTGCATGTGTGTGTGCATGCCATTTAGCTCTCACTCTTTAGCACTTATGGCTACTGTTTTAGGCCTATTTTAAGAGCTGCCTAATTCATGTATAAGTCATCTTGCCATCATTTGCATTCCCTATGTATGCTGCATGATTGCATAAGTGCATTTGCCATGTCATGTTGCATTCCTAGCTTGTATGCCTAGGTTGCATTACATTTTGCATGCATGCCTTGTTCCTTGAATTGGGATAGGAATTGGGCCTAATTTGTTTGATTGGTGTGCATTGCATTTGAAACCAAAGTTGCATACTTGGTTCTTTGGGCCATCATGCATGGAAATGCATGATTGGTGGTCCAAGAACCGAGGCACATGTCTCTTTGAGTCATTACAATGATAAGAGACATGGTTGATGCATACATGCCTTGAAAATATGCTGCCATGCCTTGTTTTGCCCTTTGTTGCTGTGAGTTGCAGGTTCTGCAGGAATACTCTGCCGACCGGCAGTGTAATGTGCCGACCGGCACATTTTTCTCTGCCGACAGACCCTATTTTGTGCCGATGGCCATACTACACTGCTGATGGAAGTTTCATTCAGCCGCGTGATGATCCCCTCTGCCGAGATGTAGTCTTGAGGCTTTGACAGCCTCCAGAGGAGGAAAGGAAGGAAAACAGAGGCAGCTTGCGCATGGCGGCGCGTTTCCCGAGACGCTTTTCTGCTTTAATTAATTTAATTTAATTTGTTAATTAAATTAGTTAATGGTTAATATTAATTAGCTTGCGTAGTTAGTTAATTTGTATATATTATTCGGTCCCTCCGAGCGAGGAAATCTGTAATAAGTGTGTGTGGGTGTGTGAATGTCTTCCAATCCCCACTTCTTTCTCCCTTTACTTACCTGCTTTGATGGTTAGTATTAGGGCACGTTTAAATTTAGCATACCTTATGCTATGCATGTGTGCATCCATGCATTTGTATTACATGCATTAGGCTCGGTACATCACGCTAACTGCATTCGTACTTCAATTCAAAAATTGAATATGTGTTAATCGTGCATTTTCACATGACATGTCTAGGATTAGCCGAGCCTATCTTAGCGACATCTTGTTTGCGATGCATTAGGCACTTAACATGGACTTGGATCATGCATGTTTGCTAACAATTCTTTGTTTTGGCATGGAGTACTATGTAAGTATTTCCGCTTTAGCATTCACATGAGTGTGAATGTTACCATGACAGCATGCTTAACATGTGGCTAGATGCTTATGTGTTAAAACTGTTTTGAATGCCTGTGGGTGAAGGTTGGATTGCTTGAGTTTGGAAAAACTCATTGAAATCCCTATTTTAGCCTACTTGCGAGTAGCAAATTCCAAAGCATTTTCAAACCGAACGGATATGCAATGTTTATTTCCAAATTAGGCAATTTGTCTATACTTGTTTGCTGCGCGCATAACATAGTAATTCTAGGCTAACAATTGGTTTAAGAACACATAAATTTCAAAAACGGATATCACGGTTAGTAGAGCCGGTCTTCGACTGGGCGAAAGGGGGTGCTCATAGCTGACCTTCCCGATCGTACCCAAGCTCCCGAGCCGAGACAACTCCGGTGATGACGGACATGTGGCCTTCGGCACCGAGTCAGGGTTCCTAAATTCCCCATTTTAAAATATTTAGGTGGCGACTCTGTATCTGGCAAAAGCAGTCCATGTTTGCACTACTTTTTCAAAATCTGTTTTCTCAAACGATTGCCAGATTTGGACTCTTTGGTTCAGATTGAGAACCGTGACACAAATTGAGTCCGAACTGTAGCGCGAGGCCCTCCCCGGGCGCTGTTACAGTTCTGGCGACTCCACTGGGGATTTAGAGAGCTTGACTCGAATTCTGATATCCTGTTTTGATTTCGCTTATGTGTTTCTTTGCATTGCATGTGCATCAGGTGCGCCTAGGAACACAGTGTTTGCCATCTGCCATCCTGAACGGTTTGCCGGAGGCTTGTCTTGTCAAGGCATGTCCATAAGGCTGACCGGCTATGGGCTCTGGCAGTATGGGAACACAAACCCCGGTTTACCGGGGCACCCTTTTGACCATCGACCTAGTGCATATTCGGAATCCATAGTGACCATTCCAAGCTAGGAACAGGTTGCTTACCCGATACTAAGTTGTTTGAAACCGCTGCGTGCGTAGTGTGAAACCCTAGCTCCTGACAAAATAGGACAGGGAAGCCCTACTCCAATATAGGGTGTTTTGTTCTCTTACTTGCTATGTGTTTTAGAATGTCGCTCTACAGGAACGCACATGTCGGTTTGCAAATCAGAGTATCTAACCTGGGAACACTAGTATCAGTATTCAGTTGTGAGAATCAGTTATCCGCGGGTATCGGTTCAGTTTTTGGGAACAGTAATTTCTGGGAACAGTGATCAGTAGAAGGTATAGTTGTGTAGCTACACCCGTGTTTGATCAGTTGGGCTGAAAATGCTGTCTTTTTTCCTTTCAAGGTTCAGAGAGTTGCAGAGTTGATACAGAATAGCCAGTGTCTCCCCCTTTGCTGAGACAAGATATTGGCGGCACAAAGTTCAGAAGAAATTGTGGTTATGACAGCCGCACCAGAGCAGGGAACCACTCCGCAGAGTGAGGGCCAATACAGTATGTCATACCCGCCCAGTCGCTCCGTTGTGCACCCGGTTTGGGCTCCTCAGTTATAACCAGGGCTCGTGAGCCACACCTTCGAATTGATGGGGATGATAGGCGATCTCCCAAAGGTCTACTGGCAGACCTCGCCTATGGAATGTCGGCTTCACCGCAGCGGCGCCGTACGCCGCGGAATTTTGTACCACAGGACCCCCGCTACGGGGCGGATTGTGATAGAGCTCAGCCAGCCAGAGGTGGCTTCCGGCTATAGCCAAGACATGCCAGCACCAAACCGACCCTGATCAGGCTGAGGCCAAAGAAAGGACAAGGCAAGGTAGACGCCGACCCTACCTTGAACAACTGCGTGGGCAGTCGAGGCTCTGAAGCCAGAGGGATGAACAAGCAACAAACATCCAATAGTGACCAAAGCTGTAGATGATGCTTTCCCTGCTCCAACCAAGCATTAAGTCAGACGGAAATCGGGATGGGCCCCGTCATGCCCATACAGTTCCGTTTGTTCCCAACCTGCACCGGGAAAGGTTCAAAAAGCCAAGGCAGTGCCAGCCGATCCTTTCGCCAGCGCATCTGGCAAGAATCCTCAAACTGCAACAGTACCTGCCCCGAGGGCGCAGGGTCTTTCACGACCTCCACATGCCTTTGTCTAGGGCATTGTTATATTGGCGAAGAATGGGCATCTTAAGCCTTTGGAGCCCCGGCCCTCCCGAAGAATCTCCCACCATCATGATGCACCTTGTACTGCGCGTACCACCAACAGTCCGGTCACAGCACCGATGGATGTTCCCGCCTTCGTCATGAAGTGCAGGATTTGATCGATACAGGTTATCTACCACCCACCTCAGGCAAGCCGTTACCACCCAGTTGTGGATTTCGAGGGCTCAGAGTACTGCGATGTATGTAAAGTGAACCGCCTGCGGGCAACATTTGGTACATTTTTGGATGAAGCGTCTGGCACGCATTTTTGAGCATCGGTTGAAAA